ACACGCGCACTGTGTGGATGTCAGACCTGAAGCTTCACAAGCATACATCTTCTTGGAGCCCTTGCTACTGGGAGCAAGGACGCTACTAGCCCTTGCTGGAATTCCTGGGCGAGTCATCCGATGTCATGGTGCCCCGTGGTCCGTGCAACTTCGCCCAGGTGCATGAACTGTGCATCTACATGGGCAGCCTCACCGAGGCCCTGGACCCGGCACTGGACGCCTGGACTGCGGCCAACTCCGAAACCATGTGCGCATCGAGGTGCTTGGCCTCCTTTGAGACCTCCTGGAACATGCCTGTATTGGGCCCGGCGATCGGCACCTTGGGCGAAGAGAGACATGCTGATGGTTTTTTCCGCTTCGGTGCCAGGGGCCACAAGTCTAAAGAGATGGATTGCTGTGAATGGATGGCCACATGTTCCGTTTTGTTCCTATTTCATTAGTTCACTGTTTGGACATGTCAGCCGCATTGTTTTGGGTTTCAATTTAAGGTCGCCTGGGCTTACCCGGGGTGCTTCTTCTGGTCTTGTGCATCTCCGCAGTCGGGCAATTCCTGGAATTTCTGCGGCAAGAATGTAAGGTACATGAGAAGCTGGAGCTCCTGAAGGACAGCAAACCATTACAGCAACATTATATACAGCCCGTTTGGGAGGTGACCCCGGAAGAAGTACTTGAAGCTGGAGAAAGACACGACATGTTTGATCATGTTTGAAGACTACCGATGACAGACGGCAGGTGACTTGCATAAGCAAGTCCAACAAAGAGATCACCAAAGTTCGTTATATAGTTCAAGACATGTGAAGGCTGCATTTTGTTTCGCCCAAACTTCCCCGACCTTGGTTGAAGGACGCTTTTCCCTATGAGGATGTTGAAGAGGCGGTGAAGCACCGATGGCAGGTGTGGATTTACATGAGCCACATGACAGATGTCGGCGGCGCCATGTTACTGCATGACCTCTTCCTAGCACTGGTGAGGGTGGAGATTTCCTTGTCCAATCAGATTTGGCGACTGGGCGAAGGCAAGCAAACACAACTCAAGTTTTAGAGTTATGTCGTTCTTGGTTTCTCGATGTTTGGTGACACTGACATGCCCTCCCTGAGGGGCAGCTCCGGGGAGGTGTTGTAATGGTTTGTGCATCAAGTTTCCGCTGGGCTGGAGATAGCACCCTGCGCTTTTGTACCCGAAGGGTTATGTGGAGTCTTTGCGGTGCTTTCTATTTTTGTCATGAGTTTTCAACCCCAGGTGTCATGCCTGGGAAATTCAAAACCACACATTATCCTCAAGCCAAGCTTGCGCATCATTTCGCATCCAGTTTCCCAATATGGCAGGGGATATTTTGGTACTAACCAGTCCACCTGTCCTTTTTCAGATAGAGCCTGCGGGTGTCCCCTATTCTGATGCACACCTATCTCGGAAATCTGCTGGGAACCCCCAAGACCGACGCGAGAACAAGCAGCGCTCCGTCGTCCTAAGGCCAGTGCCGGGCCGAGAGGCCTCGTTTCGATTCTTGGCAAAGCAGACCAGTGACTGGAGCTGTGGCAAGTTTCGGAGCTTTTGGGGGCCATAGGGGCTGAAGTCATGCTGTTGGTATGGGCCCTTAAAGCATGTTTCACATATGATTTGAGGCCCTCATGGAGCAAGAGCAGAAGCGGTGGGCCCGAGTCCACGGGATCAAAGATGCCCTTGGGTTTTGCGGGGCCACATCAACATTCACTGGTCAGGGTTCCTAGCACAGTCCAAGCACCTCATATTCCGACAAGCCAGGCGTTTCGGATTTGCTGGCAATGTGTTCACCTCCCTGGCTGCTGTTGTGTAATTGTTTAGCACTTTGGCCTATAAAGCATTGCAACCTGGAGATGCACTCAACACTACCCCATGTAAACGTGATGCTGAATCCCCTTGAGGATTCAAAATCGCATTGGAAGCCTTGCCATCCCTTTGGCTACAGATCACCTTGCTTACCTTGACGTGGGAATCAGCCAGCAACTACCACCTGGCTGTGACCTTGGTCTCGGTGGCCTGTCCCTCGACAAGAGAACAAATCCCCAGTCCCCCAGTCCTGCAGCCGCGGGTTTGAAGTGAGAGTCTGAGCAGCAAATACATATTTTAGAACCAAGTGTGGTTTGGGCAATCAGATGTCATGCAACTACTACGCTAGCTTGTGTGTATTTATCTATTACCTACACGATGCTATCATGCAGTTAAAAGCGAGAGAAGTTGCACTCTTTTGCGCGCACTGTGTACGTAGAAACATGATGAAACATGCTAATGTGATGGCCAGTGGGTGGTTCTTGGCATACCTTCTTGAATGCTGTACTTAGGCCAAACTATATGTTCAAGAATTATGAATCACTTGACTCTTCCATCAGCCACGTATCTAAAGAAAACAACCTTGGCCAAAGGGCTTCAAAGCACCCTGGAGTCAAACAACTTTCGAATTGCTTACACCACTCTTGGTTGCAAGACCAAAGGTATTAGCTGCAAGACCATCTAAATTCATATGATGCAATCAGACATCCAAGAACTTATAGATTCAAGGATTTGCGGCAAGTGGAAGCAAGACTTCAAGAGAACTTCGAGCATACATATTTAAATGTAAGACTAGCATTTTTTATGAGTAAGAATTGACATCAAACAATTCCTCATAGAAGTGAATCTCCAATCGGGCCGGTCCTGCAACAACTCCATGACTTGACATCCATTCTGAATATTGTCTATTTGGGGCGCCCCATGCCACTTTCTAGAAATAGATCATTAGATCCAAACATGGTGGACATTTGAGTTTGGGACCTTTGAAAAGCAACTTAAATTTGGATAGCTCCTTGGGGGAGCTAAAGACAGCCAAGACATAGGTCCCATGGTTGTAGCGGATATACGTGCATGTATATATATATACACATACATACATATAAACACATAAATAATATATATATATATATTTATGCTCCTAATACATGCACATAGATCATCACATCTATGTAGCATACCTGAATTTGGTGGCCATGCTCCAGCCTGAGGCTCTTACGTCAATATCGTGAAGCACTTGTCCTTGGCCTTGGAATCCCTGAGAGAAAGTCATGGGAGAGCCTTCGACGATGCCGATTCATCGCCGACTCCACCGCCAGGCGCGGTGCGTGCGATTAGCGCCAAGAGTGACACCAAGTCCTTCGAACATACATTGGAGCTGGCAGAACAAAAAGGCCAGCGCAAGCGACGGAACAGGCACTACGACTGCTGCTTGGACTGGTCAAAAGCGGGCGGACATTTGCAGGTCCCGCAATTCTGGGCTAGGTGAATGAAATGGTGTGGTTGACAACTTGATATTGATGATGCTGAACAAACGAACGTGCGAGTTTACAAAACCACGTTTCCTGCTTCCCAACCCGACCCGAGCTTCCAGACCCAACCTTCCAGTTCCCGAACCCCACGCTCCAGTTTCCGAACCTGAGTTTCCGAACCCAGCGTTTTACTTTCTGAAATTAACGCTGACCCGATGCTTGTGGTTAGTTGCTAGTACGCATCTAATTATACAATAACCGTTTTCAATGCTTTTTAGACTCATTCCACGGGCGCTTGCAACTGTTGATGATCACTGTGGGAGAATGTCCTGGTCCTTGTTCAAAGTGCCCTGAACTCAAGAAAGCCAACACATCACACTAAACTGTTTTCTCTGCCCAAGGTCCTTTGGCATGCTTGTTCATTTGCGGAGTCTTCATCCTATTGGTTTGCAGCCTTCGTCTCGCTGGGATCTGGCTTTGCGCCAGTCATAATCTGAGTCTCACCAGCGGCTGCCAACTCACCACGGGGCTTTGAAATTGAACAGTTCACTACTGTGTTGTGCGCTTGCTAGCTTCTGATAAGCACCCCCCTCTCAGAGAAACGTGGAAGTGGAACATAGGCCCATGGCAGTGCCCATGGCACAGGACCCCCTGCGCATAGCGTAGGACCTCATCTCTCATCGCAATGTTCCGCTTCCATGTTTGTGTGAGGAGGTTGGTGATCTCGCATGAGAGCTAGCCAGCTATCCATGATGAATCGGTGCCGTTCTTTAGTCCTCTTCCATCGCCCAGAGTTGGACAGCCCATTTTCCACAGAGCCCATGAGGGGCTCGAAATTGCTTTGGCGGCCATGGTGGTTTGAATTTTGAGGATCCATCCAGTTCATGAGCTTGTCGTTTGATTCACAGACCTTGTTTGCCCTGGTGGCTTTGCGAGAGCTCTCAATTTCCATCACTGGAATGGCGCCTAGCCGCCCAGGTCAGGCATATACGTTCAGGATCCTTCAGGTTACCTTCAACAAGCTCATGACGACGGCTGTGTCCAACAACCAAAGGGCCACTGCCGTTGCCCAAGTGAACATCACAGCTTGGGTTTCAGGTTTGAGAGAGCTCCTCTTCAGACAAGATGCTCTTCCCAGCCTCAGCAAAGACAGCATGTTGCGCAGTGCTTCAGGTGGCAACCAAGACCCTTGTCCCATCGTCGCAAGTAGCCAGCCGTTGATCACCTGACTCCTCGTTTCCAGGCCTTTCACCCTACCAAGCCCCGGCTGGCGACACACGTTTGCCCGCAGATGCTTTCAGGTTTGAAGACTGCTCAAGGAATTGCTGCTAGCCGCTAGCCTTTTGAGCACTGACCAACCGCCTACTTGGGAAGTGACCAGGCACCAAATTGCACCGCACCTTTCTATCCAAGATTGGGCACATGCGGGGTTGCAGGTCGATTGGGGACCTAGACTGACCTAGACTCTAAATACAAAGATGAAACCCTCACCCACCAGTTGTGTGAAGGCCACAACATGTCAAAGCATGTTGTGAAACAATAGCTGCCCTAAAGATGCCTCTCGCTCGACACTAATAAGATTAATCATGGTTGGTTCCATCCCATTACTTCTTCCATTGGACTCGGAGTTGACTTCTTCAAGGCCATGAGACCAAGGAGCTAAGCATTTTCCAACATGCCAAGCTGAGCACCATCCACATGGATCAACCTTGACGGCTTCAGCCGATGGCCCTCTCAAGGATCGGCTAAGGGTTGGGTCGGATGTGCAATGCAAAAGCCATTTCTCTACAACAATCGACGTACTTCCGTGATTTCTTCATACTTTCTTTGCTTCCGTAGGGGGCGAAGGCGTCCTATTTGCGTCCTACGGGAGTTTGTTTTGGATAGGTTGAACAACTAGGTGACTAGGTGGGTTATTCATTTGGGGCTGAATGTGTTGGACTGACAATGACAATGACTGGGTCATCTAAAGGCTGATGGTTTGAGCCATTGCACCAATAAGCTCAACCTTGGGACATTTAATCTAATGGAACTGGTGGCACCTCCAATTGTTGCATCTGGATCTGGATCTTGGCCTACCCTCTGACCATTCCTCCGTAGACCTACGAATCGACGATCATCCACCCGTACTCGATGCCTTGAATTCGCAGCACGAAGTGGAGCACACCGCCAGGGCCAGTGGCCTGGCCCGTGGGCCCGTGCGGGTCACACGCACCACTCCAGCTCCCACAGGTGCAGGGTGCATGATATGTCACGAGATGTTTGATATGTGATGAGCACACGGACACAGAAAACGCGTGTGTTGGAACAACTTAGGCGAGGGTGGGTCTTGGTGGCGAGGTCAGGCTGAGTGCAACAAAGTGCAACATTCCTCCCTCGAGGACGAGCGTCTCCTCAAACTCAAAGGCGATCGTTACTAGGTTTGTTGGTGCGATCGTTCCTATCTTCCGCGCAGAGCTGCTGTGCAGGGCTTTCGTGATTTGCAGGGCACAGTTGGCCCTAGCATTCCGATTCCACTATAGACATGGATATTTGGCGACATGGGGCTTCTTGATAAAATTTGGACTCACCGGATTTTCAAGGCATCCCCAGCAAGGGAACACAAGCTATACTGTAGATGTCCCAAGTAAACTTTTATGTTGATTCATGGTGGAGGCACCATTATCATCCATAATCTACCATTATACATATATGATCATATATGACATATGTATATGTTATATATGTACATAATTTGTAGACCCCTGACCCCTGATTAATGAAACGCCTGCAAATCCAAATGGTGGGGATATTTGGTTTCAGTTCTTTTAATCAAGGGTCTATATACACGGCATAACCGGAGTGCAGCCCATTATCAAGTCCTTTTGGGGGCGCCTTCCCTGAATTCCCAGAAAGAACCCGCTCTGTTAGGTTAGTTTATCCACCCATTGAACACGAGGCCAACTCATGGATGACCCAGATTCTTCCATTTCCATCCATTGATTGCCCAATTCTGATCCTGCGGATGGCTTTGTGGCTCTCCCACTGCCAGGCTTCTCTCCAACCTTCCCATGGGACGCCCTGCGGAAGGTGCAGCTGTTGGCCCATCGCCGCAAGGCACGAAATAGGAGGGATGCAGAAAAATACATCCATGGTGAAGAGGGAGGGTTGTCCATGTTCAGGGGTGTTGGGGCCGGTGTTTGAGATGATGGATGATTATTGTTTGTTTCCAGGTTTGGATCGTTTGGATGGGTTGTTCCAAGCAGTTCAACATATGTGGGTGACATCATCATCACCTTGGCCTTAAAAGATGGAGGGTCTAGAGTCTAAATCCTCCTGGCAGTGACGGAGCGCTGACAGAGTCAGGGTTGATTTAACCGATGTTTGCAGCTAGGTCTTTGGGAAGGCCCAGTGTACCCCGGTCGTGGCTTCCAGGTGCAGGGCCTCTCCCTTCGTGGCCGGGCCTTCCATCTCACCACACCGGCGGTGAGGGACATTGGCGGTGCATCGATTTGCATCCGCCTTGAGGAGAACGGAGAACACGGCACAGCGAAAGAAGCACCAACATCCACCAATCATCCACCAATCGAACATCTCAGCCCCAATGATGTTAGTTTAGAGGTCCATGATTCCTAAATGATGTTAGTTTACGCAGATCTATAGTGCCCAGGCCCATGCCCATTTCTTAGTTGGTTTGAGCTCTGAATAGACTTAATGTGGTCAGGAGAAGGATGCGGCCGAGGGTCGGGCGCCATAGCTGCTGCCCATCCATTTGATGACATGCTTGGCAGATCTTGGCAGTATGGTTGTGTGAAAAACATATTTGTCACGTTGTGTTATTTTATGTTATTTTTATTGTTCAATGCCGTTTCTGGCGGGTCATATCTATTGCAATTTGAGGCACTTTGTCAGTCTTGTTTTTTGCCTCATGCAATGAGTTGACTCGCGACTGGCAACACCTCAATTGATAATGAAAAGCACCCAGTGAGCAACATGGATTGGACAACGCAGGGACTCCAAGATTTTGCATTTGAAGAGCCCCCCCGTGTTTTTCAGAACGGATGCTTTTGTGTGCAAACAATGCCGCAAAAGCACTATGTCACTATGTTTTACAGTGAATTGTGGCCCAATATCACCAAAACCAGGCCTACAAAGGTTTAACTAGATAGAATTCCAAAATACCCAACAAAACAAAATACAAAAAGCAAAATGTTTTAGATAAAATGAGGTTAGTATAGGATTTGGACTTTTTTTTTAAATTGTACTCATTTGATCGCAAACGTTGTTTTCGTGTGTTTCTTCTTTGGTTTATATTTTTCTTTATATATGTTTTTAAGTTATTTCTTTGTACAAATTTTGTCTTTAACCTACAGTGACGGACAAATAAGAACAAAACGTTGAAAACAATTCTTCTAAGTGAACACTTAAAACATTGCCAATTTGCACTTAGAACATGTCAAGTTGACCCCGTAACAGCCCCACAATTAGAAACACTACATCAAAATACCTCATGTCTGAACATGTTTGGCCTTTTGTTCTTTTGTATTTGTCCGTCACTTTGTTTTTGTCAACATGTGGGCAAGCAAGGAACTTATATACTCAGTGGATCTCAGTGGTATGTGTGACTGTTTGTATGTATGTGTATATGTGTGAATGCATACTTACGGTGTCTAATGTATATATGTATATGTATATCAGCATTTGTACCCTAGGATTTGAGCATCCACCAAGATGTTCTAAGTGTGGAGGTTTAAACATTGAAACATGTTGCTGTTCTGAGTATTAGTCCGTCACTATACATGTAGCATATCAGACACTCTTGGTAAGTGGTATAGCCTATATTCAATAAAATTCTTTTTCTGGGGGCACGGTTGCATAGTTTTTAGATGCTTCTTGTTTAGGTGGAACAGGTCAAGAAATGAGATCAAGCTACTTTGCTGATGCTGGTGTCAGGATTGGCAACGCAGCAGGTTATTGAACAATGATAGGAGCACAAGATAGCACAAATGAATCCACTGTTGATGGTGCTTCCTATTTTGGTGGCAATGTTACTTCTACAAGTAATATCGCTATACTAAACCAGAACGGAGATTACTCTTGGTGATAGATAGACATTCTGCAAGATAATAAATTTTCTGGAGCAAACAAGAGGCTTACATTTCATCATTCTGATGGTGGTAGTAATAGTTACAGATTTATTCTAGGCAATGAGTTGGGAAAAAGCAGTAGAACAATATTAGATATTACAGCAGGCAATCCTCTTGTTAGAGGCGCTGCTCAAGCTCAGAAATTGTGGGGCAGAAGCTTTGACACTTATGATAATGGCCGCTGCATATTCAAGAGAGGAACAATGAAGAGTTTTTGAGGTTCAACACTCACTGATGGAACTATTGTATAAAGTACCGAAATTGATGAAACTTACTCCAGGTGAAGGAACAAGTAGAATTTAGGAAGCAATCGAAAGCACCTTTGGCTTCCTTTTATATAAGTGTTTTTTGCTTGCAAAAAGGGTACCTAAAACAACATCCACAAAAGTCAAACAAGCGCGACACTGATGATAACTGACTTAATTGCGAACTATTTACATACATGTAACTACATGATAGTGGGCAGGCGAAGATCGAACTGTCAATTGAGATGGAAAAGTATGCTTCGCCTAGTTTTCAAATCAGTTTGCATGGTATTTTCAGTGTTTTTCAAGGGTCTTAAGCCAGTGTGTGCTCTCCCAGGCGCACCTGACCTTGTTTTTTTTGGTGCACGAATGCACAAGGGGATTTCTCTTTCAGATCCATCATCCATCCAGCAAGTCTACAACCAATTTAGTGGAGGAAGTTGGGACGCGTATTTCTAATTTACCAGCGGTTTTGCTTGTTCAACCCCTCTATACAATTACTACAAGACGAAAGCACACTGTGCATCCCATACGGACCCAAGCCAATTTGAGGCCGCCAAACGTTGATTTGCACACCCAAACTCACCAGCTGAACTTTTGGCGAGTCATCCTGTCACAATGTCCTGATCACATCGCCTTGGAAGCATGGTTGCATCCCTTTCCTTCCCGTCACCCCAGTTTGTTGTTTGTTTGGAAGGACGTCATGTAGTTCTCCAACCTTCCTGGCCCGTTTGGTCCTCGCTTCTTGCTTTCCCAGCCAGCAGCTCAAGGGTGGCGGCGGCGTTTGTTCGGGCTTTGCCATGTCAGTCTCCTCAATCTGGCTTTACAGACTCTTGCTGCTGGAAGTGTTGGGCCTGATTGGGGTCTATTGGGAAATTGAAACCGAGTTTTCGGTGTCCTCAATCCGGTTCTCTTCAACCCCCTTGCGAATTGGCAACGGAGGCGGCTTCCTCAGAAGCATGAGGATGCAAGGTTCTCCGGGAAGTCCAGCTCCGGCAGCAAGACGTTTGCGATCAGACATGGGGGGCACCTGAAGCGCCAGATTTCGGATCTCAAGAAATCAGAACAGCACGCCTGTACATTCAAAGGTCTGATGGAGCAGTGCCAAGTCTTGTGATCGTTGGAGCTGACAAAGGCGGCACCTCCGAAGCTTTTGCAATGCTAGCACGTGAGTTCCAGGTTCTTGATCCCGGCCACAAAGGCAAGAAGGAGTTGGGTTGCTTGCATCTTGGTTTTTCTTTAGCCATACCATACGTTTTGCCAATCTTAGCTCCAGAAATCATGAGACATGTGGAGTTTGAAGTGAGAAAGACTGATGCATTGCCAAGGTATGAGGCATGGAATGGCACTCAAGGTGTTCACGACTGCTACCAAGAGTACTTCGGACACACGGTTGCACGGATCGGTGTGAAGCATGGCAAATAGTCAGGTCCTGTTTTGAAGTAGAAATTCTTCTGTTCAACAGCTCGAGAGAAGGAAGTAAGGTGTTTAGTTTGACTGAAAGGAGCTCCGAGTCGAAGTGTGCCAAACCGAGGACAGCTCCAGCACAATGACGACGAGGATGTTTTGCCAGTCGATGCCACGCCCAACTATTACTATTCCAACGAGTTCCTGAACTGACTTAATGTGTACCAAAAGTCCGAGAGACATGGAAAAGACACTGGCCGCCACATCAAGTGAAGTGTGAAGCACTTAATTATTTGGCACAACTTTATGCTGGGGTTTGACTGGTGGTTTGAGACACTGCCATGAGTTCGGCACCCTGTTTGGCGCGGTGCTTTTGGCCTTTGGTGTAACACATGTGGTCAAACATGTGGTTTGGAAAAGGCAAAGGGGCCATAAAACACCAGCAAGTGAGGTTCTATGCCTTCGACATTTCACCGCCTAAGATCTTGGCGGAATTTGCCCCAGATGCCACCATTGTGTTCCTTTTGAGAGAGCCGAAGAGTCGAATCCAGAGCCTGTCACTTGCCTAAAGTAGCCTGGTGCATCCTGGTGCACATCAGCACATCAGCACCAACTTCTGATCACTCAAGTCAGATGACTCAGAGTCAGAGCCCATCAGAGTCCACGAGTTGTGTTGAGGAGTTCGTGGCACACAGTGATGACGCGATGTAGTTGGATCATCTTGTATCAATTGCGTCTCATGCAAGGTACAACCATTGGTTGGTCTCGAACAACAGGCGTGATCTCAGCCTCGCACTGGAAGAACAGCTGGAGGAGGTTCATTGGGACAGAGTCATTGCTCAAAGACACCTGTTATCCATATTGTTTGTAATTGCGGGGTCGCCGGAGATTGATAGAAAACATATTGCACGGCTGTAGTTACCCATTGGGTATAATACCGAACCCCTTGCATGGGACAGTTGCCCACCAAGGAAGTAGAAGCATCTTAAGTTCCCAACTAGTAACAGCACTCGAGTTGCTGGTTTTTGTCATGTGGACTCCTGAGTGCTATGGCGAATGAATCAGTGGAATGCGGAAAGTGGGTTTATTCGGTGATGGGCCGCAACCGCAACATGCCGCAACAAGAAGCCTAAAGCTGGAAGAGTATGAGTTTTGTATTGGACATTGGTGGAGCGATGCTCAGAACAGAGAAAACATTAGAAATTGGATGGGTGTTTTTTCGGTAATTTATACTTTTATTTTTTGGATTCTGCTTTTGCTGCTTTTCTGCAGTTGTTGCTTTTATGCTTCTGCTGCTTTTTTGCTTTTGTTGCTTTTCTGCTTCTGCTGCTTTTTTGCTTTTGTTGCTTTTCTGCTTTTGTCGCTTTTCTGCTTTTGCTGCTTTTCTGCTTCTGCTGCTTTTTTTTAAAAATTTTCTGCTTTTTGTGTGTTTGTCTTTCTGCTCTTTGGTTTTGTTGCTTTTCTGCCTTTCTCTTTTTGTATTGTGCTTTTCCATTTGTTTGCTGTGCCCCAACCCCCCCGCGCCACGAAATCTGCACTTTATCTCCGACACCCGCGCCTGCCACGAAATCAATATTTTAAGGAGAACTCCCCGGGGCAAAAACTTCCTAACCAATCGTATATGCCTCCCGTGCTAGTTCTCTGTCTCTTTTCTGTTTTTCTGCTAACTGCACCAAACTGTTGTGATAGGTAGGAATTTCTCTGACACCTACACTATTCCAATGTATTGTGCCAGCTACGACAGCTCCCAAATTTGTGTAATCAGCTAGCAATTACACCGCCGGGAAAGAGGATGGCACAATTTGTTCAATGATCAGTGGTTAACGGCCTAAAGGTAGATTGCGCCAGGTGTGCTGCACCTGAACGCTAAAGTAACCTATTGACGGCCCAATTCAGCCTCTTTTGGTCGCACGCTGCCAAAAAATGGGTCATAGAAGGCGCAGT